GAGGGCTGTCCTGCTGTGTTCTGAATAGTGTGCCCACTGTCCGCTTTCAAGGCAGAGGAAACCCTAGATGGATTCATCACCTCAATCCAAATTTGATCATCGATCAAGTCCCACCGTTTTTCCGGGTGGCAGGCCGCTTCAGTTCTAAAACRCCTATCATACTCCAGCCAAGCGTTAGGCGGGCCGCTAACATAAGCCTTGTTAATAATATTCTGATACTGCCACAAAGCTGTAGCCCTTTCCGGGGCAGCATCAGAAAGCAGATTTGCATACATCATGAAACAAGGGAGCCAGTTCTCCCAATTCTGCTCAACCTTGCGTTTCTTAATTTTCTCCTTACTGTCCTCATCTAACTCCCCCTTCTCCTTCTTATCCAGATCCCTAAAGTATAAAGAAAAGATATCGATATATTCATTCCTCAATATCTTCTCAATAGTTTTGGATGCCAAATGTGAACCTAAACCTGAAAGACTGACCGTAGGAGTCGCCTGCGGCGGCCATTTCGCTGTGCCCCAAAATTTGTTAGCTTCCCCGGTTCGGGCCGATTCCAAAGTGACAGTAGCTGTTTTTGCCAATTGAATGTTGGAAGCATCCGTACTAACTCCTATACTGGGTTCCGACCCACCAGCAGACTGAATCCCAACTGCGGCATGTGACTGAACCCCCACCCCAGATTGATACCGCCCCTGGTCCCAGGGCCATGTGAGTGAGGTGGAAGTACTTGCTAATGTGAGTGTGGTGGAGGTACTTGCCGGGACAGTCGTCACCAACTGCTCGCGCCCTGCTACCCCAGTGGAAGCAGCAGTCGACCCCACCGACTGAGTGGACCCGGCCACGGCACTGGATGTAGAGGCCAATGCCGCGGGCTGACTGGGTCCGGCCCCAGCAGCCGCCATGGACCCGGACAAAGTCTGCACAGATGAATGTGCTTCGGGACTGGTGATGGTCTGCACAGCCGAAGACACCGAAGAAGAGCTCTCCGCAGCCCCCAAAGCCGCCGGCTGGTCAGGAAGTCGAACCGCCTTTTCAGCCCCCGCGGTCGAAGCCGACTCTAAAATAGAAACCCGGGACAACAAGGATTTAAACAATTGCTTCTTGCTTGCCCGGCGAGTGGGGCGTGAACCAGCCCCACCATTCCCGACCCCCCTATCCTTTTCCACTTGGTTAACACGCTGCAGAAGGGCCTCTAGGTCTTCCATAGACACCCCATCTTCATCCGACGATGACCCGTCCTGCCGTAAAGGGCGCTTGTGACCTGACTTCTCCGCGGGACCCTTTCCCTCAGGGCCCCCCTTGTTTTTCTTCGAAGGCATCCTAAAGAACAAATAGGAGTAGAAGATACCAATGAGCACCGACACCGCACTTGAAATCGCGGCAATGATAGAGTGCATACAGCCCCACCTAATCATAGAATCAAAGAGTTGGCAGAAACACCATGGGCCTTCCCAGATAACCCACTTATGGCGCCCTATTGTTCACGGCACCACATAACCACAGAAATGCCCATGCCGCATGGGCAACCACCTGTTGGTGACCCGAACTGTGGCCCGGTGGCCCGGTTAACAAAATGGACCATGCGTCATTAGCCACCACCCCCTGTGGCGCCTTAGAATCATAGCATCAAAGAGTTAAAGAGACACCATGCTCCCTCACCTGCCTCTGCCTACAGAATAAGTATGCTAATACTTCCCATTGTAATACTAATGTTTGTGTTCGTTAAAATTGTTCTTCATTTTAATTATTGTATTGCTTTAAGCGGTTAATTTATACACATATTTTTTTTATTTATTTAATATATATATATATATATACATATATATATATAGTTATACAATATTAAAACCAACACAATTTTAAATTGGACCATAATCCAAAAGGAATCTTCCTAGTCCCCCTCCTTAATTACTGTAGGAGTGTTGGCATAACACAGGAATTAAGACGTTGTGGTCACATTCAATGCCAAACCCTGATAAAAACCTAATCAACAAGCAAATAAATTCTGTGCTTGTCACATAGATCTCAATAAGGATTACATTAAATCTTGCCTATACGTTAGATAATATATTACTTATATGTACATGTTAAATATTACTTGTCTGTGTAACTCTGAAGTTTTATAAAATACATATGCTTCAAATAAATAAATTTCATCTATCTCTACCAGTGCTGTGAGTAGGCTTGACTGAAAGAAGTGCTGGAACTTGGTAGGTTGTTTGGCCAAGTTTATTGTTTGTTATCTGTTTGCCTTCCTACTCAGACATGAGCTCATTCCAGCTCAGCGTTTCACTTGAGAAATACAGTAGGGTTGAGATGCCAGTCCTTTCCACCAGGGTTATAGCTGTGGAGGGACATGATGAGGGCACTGGTTTCCCAAATAAGAATTTTGCATCCACATAGCGGCCATTGCCGCCAAACGACCCTGGCTGCATCATTTTACTTAAAATGGCGGCCGTTGCCGCCAAAGCTCGCCACGATGGCGACCAGCGCGGACGCGCAACATGGCGGCGACCCGCGAAATGGCAACAAAATGGCCCCAGCCAACGGGGACGCCAAAACGAAGAGGCGCCGCTCCAAGGCGCCAATCCCGCCGAACTTGCGGCCGCCAAAGACTCCCATAGGGGAAAGGGAGAGCAAAGCCCCCTTTCCCCCCAACAAACATCGGGCATCAGGAGCCCCGATCCGCTGCCGCCCAAGCGCAGGCCTCAAGCCGGCGCTCCGCCACCGCGGCTCCAGAGGGGAAGGAGAGACGGCCCCCTCCGCCAATCCCGCCGAACTTGCGGCCGCAGAAAGACTCCCATAGGGGAAAGGGAGAGCAAAGAGGGGAAGGAGAGACGGCCCCCTCCGCCGATCCCGCCGAACTTGCGGCCGCAGAAGACTCAATGCCCCCTGTCCCCCCAACAAACATCGGCATCAGGAGCCCTGATCCGCTGCCGCCCAAGCGCAGGCCTCCAGCCGGCGCTCCGCCGCCGCGGCTACGGAGGGGAAGGAGAGACAGCCCCCTCCTTCCCCCAGCGCTCCCGGACCGACCTGGAGCAACGAAGACACGTCCTGCTTCTTGAAACGTCTATCAAGACTGAGGTAGGAAGGCTGGCTCACGTGACTAGCCAGCCCCCGCCCCTCTTCCAGGAGGTTCTAAAGGAACCTCCGATTCTCTCCCTTCAGGGGGTGGGGCAAATCGCTCTCCCCACCAACTTTGTTGATGTGGAGAGTCCCGTGTGTGTGAGAGAGGGAGGGAACAATAGTAAAAAAAAAAAAGAACTGAAGACAATATTACTAAAAAAAATTTTTAGAGCCAAAACAGAAAAGGGGAATGAACAAAATGGGGTTTTGTTCTCCTCCTAAGGGAGAAAGCTCTGCACAGTCATCAAAGTTAAGGAACTCAGAAGAAATCTCAGCTGAACAGAGGAATTCAAGACTGGGTCCCCTGTTTGGTAGGCTCTTCACTAGAAATAAAAACCACAAGGACAAGACTATGAGGCTAGGAAAAGGGTAGGAAGGTGTAACGCCCGCTTCTTCTTCCAGGCCAAGGGCCTGGTCTCCTCATCTGTGAGATATTTGCCTAGGCAAAACCCTAGGCAGGGAAAGCTGGGACAGAAAGAGAGGCGAGAGACTGGAGTTCCTTCAGGAAAAAAGTGCCCCAGGAGCCCAATGTCTCTCTTGATCTGTCAGAGAAACATGACAATGTATGCCTCTCCTTCTCAAGACTTGCTGATACAAAGGGGGGGGGGGGACCAGCCTGGCTTCTCCTTGCAAGGCCAACAAGTGTTGAAATGGGACCCGAGGACATTTGCTTTGGCTCTCACTTTGGGTTCCTTTCCCATCCCGAGGAGAAGAGCGCAGACCCCTCTTTCTTTCTTTCTTTCTTTCTTTCTTTCTTTCTTTCTTTCTTTCTTTCTTTCTTTCTTTCTTTCTTTCTTTCATCTGGTGGCTGAAGGACACTTCTCAGGAAGTGGAAAGGTTGCCCTGTACTTCCAAAAAGTTGTTATGGGTAAGAATCACTTAATTCACACTCATAGCAACTTCTTGTAAGTACAGACAATCTGACCACCTCCTGGAAAGCTCCCTTCAGCCACCAGATACATTTTGAGTAAGAATCACTTAATTCACATGGGAGCCCCTGGTGGTGCAATGGGTTAAACTGTTGTTCCAGCAGGTTGGAGGTTCGAATCTGGGGAAAGCACAGATGAGCTCCCTCTGTCAGCTCCAGCTCCCCATTCGGGGAAATCAAAACTTCTGGGCATCCCCTGGGCAATGTCCTTGCAGCCAATTCTCTCACACCAAAAGTGACTTGGAGTTTCTCAAGTCACTCTTGACATAAAAAAACCCCTTAATTCACAAGGTTCATCTTGTGAATGACCCCTTTAAAGGTAAAATGATGCTTATCATGGACAGGAGATTCATAGGAGCCACAAAAAAGATGTGGGGTCTATAAAGAGTTTACACACTATTGACCAAACACTCTTAGTGTAAAAGTGATATACACTATGGTTTCTTCCATCTCATTTTCAGTGCACCCATTTGAGTTAATTTAGTCTTCTGAATAAATTGAGGAAATCATGTTAGAATTTTAAAAAGACAAAAATGGTACTTGTGATAGATTTTAGATTTGCTTTAAAATAGGTTACTACAAGGCAACAGGAACACATGACAAGTGAATTAAAGGCAATAAGTGAGTGAACTATTGTAATTTTGTTAGAATGTCTCCTTACTAATATCAAATGAGTTCATCTGTTTTTACTCTTTCTTTCTTTCCCAGATCTAGGAAGAGAGAAAGACATATATACAGATGATTCAGAACATGGGAATTATGATTCTCGTACTGATCAATCTCTACTTATTAAAAGTACACCTACAAGACAGAAGCCTGAACCTCGGTCAAAGACATCATTGAAGGTAATGATGTTATAATGTATTCTGCTGGATCTATTCTGTTGGCTCACTTTTAAAACATGCTTAGTCCACTGCAAAAGTGTCATGCAGCCTTTTAAAAAAAATCCATAACAATATTTTTCAGGATCTCTATAAGATCTTAGCACCTTCATGAGATCTAGAGGTTTTAGTGTTGACCACGTTTCTGTCCCCAGGATCACCGAATTAACATGTTGTTGTTAACTGACATCAAGCCGACTTCAACATAAGGGGACTTCATGAATTAAGACCCCCAAGTTATCAACAACCCTGCTAAAGTCTTGCAGACTCAGTACTGTGGTTTCTTTGATTGAGCCTGTCCATCTGAAATGTGATCTTCCCCTATTCTGACTTCCTTCTACTTACCAAGCATTGTGATCTTTTTAGTGAGCCATGTACTCTCATGATCTAGTCAAAGTATGACAGTCTCAGTTCAGTCATTTTGGTTTCTAGGGAGAGTTCAGGCTTAATTTTCATCTATTCATTTGACTTTTCAGCACCATATTTCAAATGAGTTGATTTTCTTTCTATCACCCCTTTTCACTGTTTAGCTTTGACAACCATATGTAGAAATGGAGTACAGTGGCATGAACTATCCCAACTTTAATATTCAATGAAATTTCTATACATTTTAGGAAATTGTGCAATTCCTTTATAGCTGCCTTTCAAAGTCCTGGCCTTCTTCTGATTTCTAGGCAGTAATCTCAGTTATGACTAATGACTGATCCAAGAAATTGAAATCTTGAACTATTTCAAAGTGTTCATCATCTTATATTTCTTTAAAGTAATGTAAACCATCTATTGTTATTTTGTTTTCTTAATGTTTAACTGTCATCCCATCCTTGTATTTCTTTTCTTGACTTCATACACTAATTGCTCTAAGTCTCTACAGTTTTCTGCTAGTAGTATGGTGCTATCTGAACATCCCTCTTCCAGTTTTCATGCCTCCTTCCTTCAGCTTTACATATGATTTCTATAGAGTATAAGTTAAATATATAGGGTGATAAAATGCAGCCTTGCCTGACCCCCTTGACAATTGAAAATCATTCCACTTCTCTCTATTCAGTCCTAATGGTAGTCTCTTGTCCTGAGATAATTAAATATGGCAGATCCATTTTTTAAGAGTGATCCATAGATTTTCAAACAATCTAGTTAATTTTGCAATAATCTATAAAGCCCAAGTTAATTTCTTTCTGAAACTCTTTGGTGTACTCCATTATTCAAAGTATGCTTGAAATATGATCACTGGTGCTTCTTCCCTCCCCGAGCCCAGCATGGACATTTGGCTTGCCCTACCAACTTTCACAAGCCTGAAAAAGCAACTTTCTTAATCAAGATGAATCTAAAGTATGTGTTATGTTTAAGATAAGCTTTCTGATTACAAATGGATATTAATTCTATGATATTTAAAAGGTGAATTTTAGCTCCTTTTTAAAGTCATAGAATTATAGTGTTATAAGAGACCACAAGGTCCATCCAATCCAACCCCCTGCCACATAGGAATACACAATCAAAGTACTCCCAACACATGGCCATCCAGCCTGTGTTTTTAAACCTCGAGAGAAGTAGACTCCATCACACTCTGAGGTAGCATATTCTACCGCAGAACAGCTCTTACCATCAGTTCTTCCAAATGTTCGGGTGGAATCTCTTTTCCTCCTTTTTAAACCCACTTTTCTGTGTCCTAGTCTCCAGAGTAGCAGAAAACTAACTTGCCCCCTTCTCAATGTGACATCCTTTTGGATATTTAAACAAGGATATCATGTCCTCTCTCTGCCTTCTTTTCTCTAAGCTAAACATACCCAGTTCCCTAGGTCATTTTTCATAGGGCTTTCTTTCCAAACCTTTCATCACATCCATTGCCCTTTTCTGGACACATTTTAGCTTGAAAATATTCTTGAATTGTGGTACCTAGAACTGCACACAGTATTCCAGGTGACATCTGATCAAAGCAGAATAGAGTAGTACTATTACTTTCTTCGTTGTAGACACTATACAGGCAGTCCCCAAATTACGAACAAGATAGGTTCTGTAGGTTTATTCTTAAGTTGAATTCATTTTTAAGTCAGAACAGGTACATTTTAAGGGTAACTCCAGATATTTATTTATTTATTTATTTATTTATTTATTCATTCATTTATTTATTTTGGGCATTTCTATCCCGTCCTTCTCACCTCCAAAGAGAGACTCAGGACGGCTTACAGCAGGCAGTCATTAGATGCCAAAAAACAATATATAGATAAAGATAGCATAAAGAAGTGTTAACACCCATGTGATGTTTGTTTTACTGTCTGTGCCCCTGTTAAGAAGATTTCACCTCACTTTCCATCCCTGTGATAATTGGATTTTGTAAATTTTGACTTATTGTGGTAAAAACGATTGGTGATGAAGCTTCAGATGAGCCACCTTTCCCCCATGATAACTCTTCCAGGAGTGAATTTTCCTTTCTGGGGGTAGATTTCTATCATTTCCTGTTTCTCTCACTTCCTGTTGTCTCATGATACTAAAATTTTGAATTCTCTTCCTCCTTTTGCAGTGCAACTGAAACATTTTTGTTACCATACTTCTAAAGTTTACCCTTGCCAAGTGGCAAAGGAGGAATATTCACAAGAGTTTAAGGGCTGGCTGGTACTGTGATTAATGTTCTATTGAGGTGTCAGGAAGTTGGTTGAGAGTTTTGTACCATATTATTTATGGTTGTTGTTGTTGTTTTTAAAAAGTGACTATTATACAATCCACTTAGGGGAACTTTAGGACTTTAGTTGTAATTAATTAGATGTTGTGACATGAAAAATCACTCAAACTTGAAATATTTGTAAGATCTGTGAATTTTGACACACCTTTCCAAAGCTTTACATCAGTAGTAAACCTTAGCCCAAACATTGTAACTCCTGCTGGCTGGAATTTTAAAGGTGCTATTTCATAAATTCTATATATGCCTGCATACAAATGTAAACTATTTATTGGCTCCCTTAAATGGTTTTGGCTAACTCTCTTTAGAAAGCACATATTTGGAATTAATTATTGAATGAGGCCAAGTAATTAAGTTCTTCATGACTTCAGCAGGAATCCTTTGTTTAGTGCTCTAAATATTGATCTAAACTGAAAATACCGGGGATAGATATCACATCTGCTTGGCAGCTATCACACTCCGTTACATTTATACAAGCAACACATCTATCTTGAACTATTGGTGTAGAACAGTAGTGAGAAACCATTTAGACTCAGAGACTAAATTCAATTTTTAAACAATTTGGGGCCCTGTATTTCGTTGATTGGAGGCCGAGGGCACAAATCAGGCCAGAGTAGGTCTAAAGAAATGTAAATTTTATTAATTTGTCACAATGCAACAACTGGAGTTTATTGTTATGCTATGTATCCATGCTGTGCAGTCCTGGAAGTCATCATTTTCCAAGATCAATACCCTTCTCATAGTGCATTTACACTATGGAATGCATGCTCCTAAACCCCACTTTAAACACCATAGCTCCATACTATGTGGTCCTGGACGTTATAGTTTCCAAAGGTCCATACCCTTCTCTGGATGCATCTGCACTGGAGATTAAATGCAGTCAGGATCCATTTCAAATGCTATTACTATTACTATTACTATTACTATTACTATTACTATGCCATGTTTCCATGCTGTGCGGTTGTGGGAGTCATAGTTTTCCAAGGTCCATTTACACTATGGAATGAATGCCCTTGCACCCCACTTTAAATGCCATGGCTCCATGTGATGGAGCCCTCCTGGGAGTTATAGTTACCCAAAGTCCACACCCTTCTCTTTGGGGCAGCCAAGAGACTGGGGAGGGAGGGAGGGAGAGAGCATTGTAACCCTTCCTGCTTCCTTGCTTCCGGAACTGAAAACACAAAACAGCCGACATTTCAAAGATATGACTTTTTCCCCACAAAGAAGGGGGGGATGGTGGATGGTGCCTAGTGATTAAAGTGTGATGGCAAATCTACTGAAAGAATGCAGAGTACCACGGTGTACCACAGAAACATGTAATAAAAGTAGGGAAATCATCCATTTTATTTAAAAACTGAGTAAGACTGAGTACTTCCCTGTTTCAATGTGATGAAGTGATTAGTCTGCAAACTAGAGTTCATTTCAATGTGAAAGCTTTTCCAGTTTTAAATAGTCTCTTATCTCCAAACCGTTATAGGGACTGAAGATACTGATCCCCATTCTGGCTTTGGAGGCTGTTTACTGTCATATAGATATATAAAAGAATACAAAACATTATATTACAGTTGGCCCTCCACATTTGCTGGTTTACTTTTAGAAATGGATTTACCAATTTGATTAAAATTTTCTTGCTAAGAATCTCAAGGACTTCCAGTGTGACTCCATGATGAATTTCTTGAGATGTAGAAAAGGTAGAAGCAGTTGGTATGCTTCATATAGCAAAGTTTGAAAAATGTAGGATCTGACAGTGCTTTGCTATATCTGTCCATGTTTTTGCTGAAAATGTTCTGTCCTTATGATATGTTGTCATTATTAAAAAGTTTCTATGCTAATACTCCCAATGTTTCACTTGGCTGCAATACTAGGGTGGAGAGAGAGTGTGGCTTACAGGTTCTTTATGGTCCTTGAATAGCATCTTTGCTCCCCAAAAATCTCCATTTGGCATCCTGGGGACATATGTCTCCTTGCTCATTTTCTGTTTTATGGTGCCCTCTTTAATTATGCTCACGGAGACCTCTTACTTGATCTACCAGCTTGAATAACTGCCTCTTTCTTACTCATCAATATTTATTTATACACATTTATTAAAATACTAAATAAAATTACTCATTGTGATAGGATGATCTTCTTGCCAACTGCGATTTTCTGTTTTTTCCTGGGAACCAGATGTCCCCCAAGATCGTGCAGAAAGCAATGTTTAAAAACAGATATTTTGATTTCACAAATTCCCCAATGTTTAAGAAAGCATAACAAACACAAAACAAATTTCTCGTTGCTTACAGCTTATACCACT